CTAGGAGCAATTACTATCTGCCCTGTATGTTAAGTGCCTGGCACACAGTGGTCCCTCCAGTGTTATAATGATAACTCAGCTGTGTTGGAGTCTTTCCTCTGCCTCAAGGCTGGGGGTGGGGGTGGTTTTGCTGAAATTGGTGGGGGAGGGTTGGGGAAGGGAGAGTGATCAGATACACTCCTCCACACTGAGGAGTTTCCTGGCTGTTTGGGGCCCCTGCATCCCCCACATCTAGGACCTGCTTCTAGGGAGGGATCTTCTTAGAGGATTCAGGGGGCTGTGGGGTTGCAGGGAGGCCCCCAAAGGGCTTGGCCTGGGTGCCCTGTAATCCTCCCTACCCTGGGCTGGGCTGACCTTCTTCCCAGTTATCAGGGAGGATCGTGTGCAGAAAGCTCCCTCCTCTTCTCTCAGACTCCCTAGAAAGTCAGCGTGGCCCAGAAAGGGAAGGAGTGGGCACAGCTGGTGAAAAGACCACCCCACCCCTCATTTCCCACTGTTCTAGGGTAAAATCACCACGAAGTTATAGTAAAGCGAAAAGGAAGGTTTTATTTGGCATATGTTCAAAGAGGCAGAAGTAAGAAACGGACAAGCATGCTGCCAGAGCCATGTCTGCCCGAATCTAACGAACATTACAGAATGATCAGTATGTATTAACATTACAAATGGGTAAAATCATTGAAAGCTTCACCTTTTCACAGATTGCCTAAAAACTGCCAAATCACCTGTGATTCTACATTTTGAATTGTGTTTATCTTAATAATCACTAGCACAGGTTTCAGTAAGGACAGTCAGGAGGGTCTTCATTGGTCCAACAAATCTTACTATTCACTAAATGCTAAAAGGAAAAAGTAAGAGTGGAAAATACATGGATCTTTTGTGCCCTGTTTATGATTTGTTTATGTGAATGTTTCCCTAAAAGATGTTTTCTAAGATTGTCCTAGCTTTTGTCTTTATACGTCAGCGCTCAGGTGATGTGTCCCTGTGAATCCTTTTGAGTCCAGCTCCAGCTGGGTCACATTCTTGATTCTCAAGGACAGGGAATAATGGCTCCCATATTATCTCCTAAATCACCGCTTTGCCTGAGAGAAAAGCACCAGCGTGAACTCAGATCCCACTTCTGCTTGCTCAGACCCCTGAGTCCTGGGCTCCTGGGCCTTGCTGGGGGCCTCCCCCTTGCTGGGGGCCTCCCTCTTCAGGAGGCTTGTCTTGTCTTAGCAAGGCCAGCAGCTATTTCCCTGACCAGACTCTGGACTGAGCATTGGGTTTGAGGCCTTGGAAAAAGAGGAAGCAGCTTCTGAGATTGGGTCCTTCTTTCCTGGGGTAGCAGGGCACCAGGGCACTACAGCACCAAGAGCTCTTGGCCTTTCTTCTGTTCTCCTCTATGACCAGTTCACCAGCCTTAGAGCCACTGCCCACTGTGGAGCAGGTACTCCCAATCTCTGGACCTGGAAAGAGAGTGGGGTTGCTGGGAGCAGGGCTGGGCTGAGACTTGTTGGGGTGTGTCTGGGTGTGAGTGCTGAACCCCAGACAAATCTAAGCCCACGATACTAATCATAACCCCTCCACAACCCAAAGCCCTCCACAACCCGAAATCTTCCCTAACCCACATTCCACTTCCAATCCTAACCATCATCCTAACCTCTCTCCCAGCCCCAGTTCCATCCCCAATCTTAATCCTCACCCTCACCTCATTTACACCCAACCTCAACATTTACTAATCCTCATCTTTATGCAACTCCAACCCAACCATTGTCCTAACCCAATCCCAACCTATACCCAACCCTATCACCCTCATCCCTAGTCATGTCCTAATCATCACCTGCATCTAACTTCAACCTTCACTCTCACCCCAAATCCGTTGCTCTTATCTCAATTTCAACCTCAATCCCAACCCTCATCCCATTCCAAATCGCAACCTAATCCTCACCCTCACCCCAGCCCACCTCTGCCCCTGCACAACTGTAGTCTTCCCCTGCCTCTAACCCCAGCCCCACCCCATTCATTCATCTTTACTTCATTCATCTGCATGCAAGAAGCTTGACATTGCCCAGCAGACCTCGGGGGATGAGCACTCAGCTCATAGCATTTAAAGCCAGATTAAGAAATGCAATGGATTATATGGGTTCCGAAGTTAAATGTTTGGCCCGTGTTGGGGCTTTCCACTATTTTGAACATCATACATTCCTGGAATTGCCCATCTGCACCCCAAATTTCCTTGATTTTCCCATCTGTGGGGTGAAGCACTCCAGCTGGCCGTGTTACCCATTTCCCTCCTTGCTCAGCCTGAAAGGGAAGTTGGGGAGGAACCCTGAGGTCCGGAAACAGAAACTGAATCCTGAACCCAGGCATAACTGCTCACAGCGAAACTACCTTTGCCCTCTCTTCCCCAGGCTAGACGTTGGCCTCTGCTGGCCCTTGGTCTTGGGTCCATCTGCCCACCCCAGATATCCTAGGACACTTGGTTTCATGTAGCCTTTACACGCTCGCTTGCTCTCATATAGGCAGCAAACATGGTGTCCACTGTGTACCAGGTCACCCCAACCCAACCCTGTTGCAGCACATACCAATTCTAGGAGTGGGCGTTTTTAACCCTGTTTTCAAAGCTCGCAAGGCTTAGAGATGCAAGGATGAAACTCAAGAATTTCCAGTCTGGGGAACAATGCTGTCCAAATGGTCATCGCCCAAGGGAGGGGTTGTTTTAGGGCCACAAAGCTCCCTGCTCCCCAACACATTCACCCTCTTCCCAATCACCCCTTTACCACCAGGGGGCGCTGACACTCTCTAGGTCACCCAGCTCAGAAACAAGCCCTATGGCACCTACCCCTCAATCAGGCTTTTAAACTGGGACAAGGGTCTCTCTTTTGGTGCCATCCCTGCACTTTCTGTTCCTAGGACAGTTTTCTGGGCCAGGGTTGGTTTTTGGAGTGGGGCAGCCTGAGCCAAAAAGCTGGACTCCTAGGGACTGTCCCCTTTGGTGTTGGGGCTGGGCTAAGCATAGGTGACATCTACATGATGTGATTTCAAGTGGTTCTGGAAAGAGTCCCCCCATGCATTCCAAAAATTCCTGCTCCCCTCCAGTATCACTGTGTCCAAAATCCCACCATTCCTCCTATAGGTTCAGCAATGCCCTGGGGCAGCAAGGGAGCCGGGGACACTGTAGGCATATCTTGCTGATGTCCCCAGCTGCAGAGGAGCTAACCCTGACACCCTGCATGGCTCTGGGCTCCAGGGGCCAGATCTGCACCCAAATGTGCCCAGTAGGCTGCCTTTCTTCAAGGTGAGGAAAAGCATAGCCCCCAGGCCTTGGGGCCCAGCCTGGGGGACCATGAGCCTCTCAGCGGCCAAGGACCTGGTGTGGGTCACGTCCTTCTGAGGGAGGAGCAGGTCTAGGACTGCCCCAAGAACTGAGGACGATCCAAGGGGCCTCAGCAAGTGACCAGACGTGTCTGCTGGAGCATCCCAGGAGGCGGCTCTGTCCCCTGAGGATCAGTGCTCTTCTTGTCCTCCCCACGCCTTTGTCTTTGCAGTGCTCCAGTCTGGGACTTCCCTTCCTCTGTCTTCATTTGGCTAAGTGCTGCTTGGCCATCCAGACAGGCAGTTCAGGCCCTCCCCAGGCCCTTGGGCTCTGCCCACCCCAACCCATGTGTGCCCCCTGGTAGCCCTCAGGATCAGCTGGGCCCAACTCATGAGGCTGATGGGCTGGGGGCTGGGACTGGGCGATGTCATGAGTTTCCTGTCCCCGCTTGCATCCTCTCAGGCTCTCTCCTCACTCTGCCAAGTCAGCATTTACAATCAAGGAGGATTGCAAAATTGGCAAAATGTGTTTTTGGCATCCTTCCCCTCTGCCTCATGTCTGTGGCACCCATTAGGGTCCCCCCACCCCCCTCAACCAGGGATTCTCCATGACAAAGGACCTTTCTTCTTGTGCTAGGTATATAGTAGGTGTTTAACTCATGTCTGTGGCATACGTGCTGTGCAGGGCCCTCATGCTGCCTGTCACACCTAGGCTTAGTCCTGCCACCTCTATGCCCCAACTCAGAACGCCCAAGGACAGCACCCCTCTCACTCATGGGAGACCTCTGAGGGCCTGAGGGCTCTGCACTGCTGCAGGCACGTGTCCTCAGTCCCAGGCCCTGAGAAATGGGTGCTCACAAGCTGCCGAGAACAAGGCAGTCTCAGAGATGGCTCTAGGGTGGCTGCAGGGGCGCCTAACGGGAAGTTTTGTCTGGAGGCTGCCTCAAGCTGCACCTTGAATGAGGTTCAGTAGGCAGAGATGGCAAAGATCACTTGTGCTGGGTGCCCAGAGGAGATAGGACTGGCCCCGGGCGGGGTGGGGTTGTGGGGGAGTCTGTGGGAAGCAGCTGGGGGCAGGAAATGAGGACTTCCCAGGGATGATTGGGGCCTATGTCTCACGGGCAGTGGGAGCCACAGAAGGTTTTGGAGCAGGGGAACGACTCCTAAAGGCAGCACTTTGTTAAGTTTCGTCAGCCCCATTATGACCTGCAGCTCGGAAAGCTGGCGGCAGGGAGGGAAGTCTCAAGTAAGAAACCATCATTCTTGCTAGGTGCCTTGGAGTAGGTCACTGTGCCTCTCTGGGCCCTAGTTCCTGCTGGATGGAAAGGGTGGGGGGCGGGGGACAGCTGTTAATCTGTCCTAAGATGATTTCCCTGAAGGAATGGGGAAGCAGAAGTTGGGTCACCAACTGTAGGGGTGGGGCCGAGTGAACATAGGGGGCTTTCTGGAGCATGCCACCAAGAGAGGCATTCCTGCGCATACCCCGAGTGGGGAACGTGGGCTCCTGGCTCCCTGCTGGCAGCTGCCCCAGAGGTCCCTGGGAGCCCTGCACCTCTCTGGGGTGACCATCACAGCACTTGGGGACACAGTGCTGGACCCTTAGTGGGCTCTGGAGCTGACGTGCCGGAGGTGTCTCTAGGATCCCCAGTGTGCCCACCCAGTGAGCACCACCCTCATACGGTCCAGAACCAGCACAAGGAACTGCTATGGGCTTCTTGCTCCTGCTCCTCATCCTGGCCTCACTCTTCCCACCAGGTAAGCGTCACTGGCCTGTCTCAGGGGGCTTGGCCTCAGTGAGTCAGTGAGTCCAGGCTCTGGCTGGGCCAGGCATGCTGGGCTCTGTCTGAGTCACAGATACTGGTGCTGGGGTCGAGGGAGGATGCAGGGAAATAGTGGCTGCGAGCTGGGTGGAAGCCCCAGGTCCCTTTTAGAGCTGCTCTGCTGAACTTCTGAGCAGCCCCCGGGCCATGGACTGTCCCTGAGGCACCCAGAGGGGCTGTACTAGGGGTGCATTGCTGGGGCAAAGTTTCTGGGCCCATTTGGGACACCCTTCTCTGGGCAGATCGTGGGCTCTGTGGTGACCCCAGTCCTGTACCGCCCTCCTCTCTGCCCCTCTCTCCATCCTTCCCCAGGCCAGGCCTCATGGGGTGTCTCCAGTCCCCAGGAAGTGCAGGGTGTGAAGGGGTCCTGCTTGCTCATCCCCTGCGTCTTCAGCTTCCCCGCTGATGTAGCGGTGCCCGACGGCATCACAGCCATCTGGTACTACAACCCAGACTCCGGAGAGAGGCAGGTGGCGAGCCACTCAAGGAACCCCACGCTGGTAGAGGCACGCTTCCGCGGCCGCACCCAGCTGGCGGAGAACCCTGAGCACAAAATGTGCCACCTGCTGCTGAAGGACCTGCAGCCAGAGGACTCGGGCTCCTACAAGTTCCGCTTTGAGATAAGCGAAGGCAACAAATGGTTAGATGTTCTTGGTACCACGGTCACCGTGACAGGTGAGGGCAAGTGGCTTGCTTACTGCTGGGAAGGGACTCCTAGGGTGCTTCTGGACTGACTGGCTCACAGCCCAGCCCTCGTCCTAAATCTAACCCCAGCCCTAATCTCAGCCTCTGTTTCAGCCCCTATCCCATCCTTGTCCCAGGGCCAGCCCCAGCATCATCCCTGTCCCAG